TCAATATGATAACTTTTATTTTATTTTAATATTTTATTTTAAAAAAATATTTATTTAAAATGTCAAATAGTTTTTAAGTCCGTGAATCATGTGAGCTGAGCCTAATGAGATGAACCTAACGAGTTGAATCGAATTGTTCGTGAACTTATAACGAGTCGAGTTTGAGCTTAAAAAAAGTTCGTGTCAAACTCGAACTCGAACCAATTCTTAACGAGTCGAGCCGAGTTGAGGTGAGTTCGACTCAACTTGACTCATTTCCAGCCCTACTTACAAGCCAAAAAGTTAGGTGCAGTTTAAAGAAAATGAGAACTAAGACATAAACCATACAACTTATTTTCCCACATGTTGATTCTCAACCCCGATACCATTTCAATTCTCTTAACATAACCTTTAAGAAAATAGGATGATACTCATCCAACCCTTGGGGATTCTTCTTTTTAAGGATCAAAGCTAAAAAAGATGAAGTCATGGCCTTTGGTAGTCTTTTTGTTTTATGAAATTCTTGGATGAACCAATGTAACTCCTCACCAATTATCCCCTAACATATTTTTAGGAAGTCTATATTAAATCCATCAGGCCATGGGCTTCCATCTCTATAACATTCAAATACCACTTCCCTAATCTTCTCCTTAGAAAATGGCTTCTCCAAACACTCTCTCTCTCTATTCATTTGGTAATGAGTTGAATTCTATTCTATCCAGCCTAGGTTTTGGATTACTATGACTCTGGAACTTAGCAACAAAGTGATTTTTAATGACCCCTTTTACTCCCTTCACATCCTCAACCATCCCAAACTCTGTTTGAATCGAGATGATTGCATTCCTTATTGCTCTAGTATTCAATATTGAGTGGAAATATCTTGTATCTAAATCTCCCTACTGAATCCATCTTTGTCTAGATTTTTGTTTTGAAATGATCTCCTTGAACTGCAAGTTATGCCACATTGACTCATATACTTTCTTCCTCTTTTCTTGCACCTCCACAAAAACCTGACTATCTACTAACTGTGTCTCACCTTCTAGAATATTTAGTTCCTCCACCCCTTCCTCAATCTTCAAATTCATCCACCCAAAAACATTTACATTCCACCATCTAAGTCTTTCTCTTAACAACTTGAATTTTTCTTTAATTACAAATAATTTTTTACCCTTAACCAAGTAAGACTCTCATTCCTTCTTTACAAACCCCAAAAAATCTTTATGATCATACCAACAATTATTCACTTTGAAAGTTTTGGGTCTCTAATCAAGATTACTATCCTTGATCCACACATTCTTGTGATCTGATATATCCCTATTTTCAGTCACCTGCGCCACAACCTTCCACTAATTTATTATGCCCTCAATTAATAAAATTCTATTAATTTTACTATTATACCTACCATCTGAGTTTATCCAAGTGAATAAGTTTATCACTACAGGTAAATCTATAAGTTCCATTAGATAAATGAAACCACCAAATTCCTCTATTTTCACTCTTCTACTGCAACAACCCATACCTCTCTTTTCCTCCTTAGATTTTGTTGCATTAAAATCCCCACCCACCACCCACTCCGTGGCTCTGATTTGTTTTTCCAGTTCAATAATTCCATCCACAACAATCTCTTATTTATTAGCATACAGGGCGAATATATGTTCAGAAAATAATAGTTCATACATTTCCAAATCGCGTTGCTCCCAATGAAATCTCTACCCTTGAAGCTAAATAAAGGTGTGATCGATTTCTGCCTTCATATAGTTAAAACTCCTCCTGATTGACCTTTAGCCTCCTTTGCTGACTAATCACACTTTTTTGATCCCCACATACTATGCACCACGGATTCCTTCATATGTTTGACCTTTGTTTCTTGAATAAACATCATATATGCCTTCCCTTTTGATATAATTTTAGTTAGGCTCTTTCTTTTACTGGAATTACCGCACCCTCTAATGTTAAAGGTCCATATATTCAAGGGACCCTAGTAATGGTCTCCTTCGATGTTTCATAAAAACTATGATCCCTTGCTTTTAGGTTATTAAAAATACCTTTAAAAACCTCGTCATCTTCATCTCTTTCGATTCTAAACTCTTTAATGGACTTCCACACTTTAGTCGGAAGATTTCCACTGACTTTCAAATTCTTGAATTTACTTGATTTACATATGAGTCATTGATAGAATCACAACAGAGAATTGACCCCCCAGTAAATCTAGATGAAGTATCTGCTAAATCAACCATAACTAGATTAGACTTTGCAAGAGATTTAGAAATATGGATAATTTTAGGGTTTCTCTCATAATGAATCAGGATAGAAAAATATGAAGGGGAAAACAGAATATTTATATTTTTGTATATCTCGACCAAATGCTTTTTCATATTGGGCCTTTGACCCCGCTGGTGTACAGGAAATTGAGCCAGATGATGTATACAACATGCCCACTTCCAATGAGTTAACATTCGAGAAATTTTACCCCATACCCCTACAATTATACCCATACCCCTACAATTTTTAAAAAATACCAATTTTATCCCTGTATACTTTTTATTATATATTTTTTTATACTTGTCAGATTTTTAGAGTTCCAAGAAATTCACCAATCGAGTCTTCCAAAACACTTTAAAAATGACTTTCGGTATGTTGTTTTTTCCAAACCGGAAGACTTTGGCAAAGAGTTCTGGTTTATACACAATATGTACCGGAAAAGTTTATCAAAGACTTTCGGTTTGCGTTTTTCGTAGAATTTTACCGGAACACTTTTATTAAGAGTTCCGGTACTTGTAAAAAGTGTATCGGAACACTTTTTTTCAAGTCTTCCGGTTTGGTAACGTTGGCTACCGGAACCCTTTTCCTGAGTCTTCTGGTTTACATTTGTAATTTTTTTTTGTAATTTTTTTTATGCAGGTACAAAAATTCCTTTACAAATATGCGATAAAGATCAGATATGCGTAGATACGTCTGATGTTTTTTCAACTACTCAAAGATTTGGTACACGAGAAGAGGTGATAAGATGGATTAAAGAGATCAGAATCCGAAATAAAGTAACATTTATCATCACTCGTTCAGATATTGAAACAGAAAAGAGAGAAAGAAGTAACAAATTAATATTTGGATGTGATAAATGAGGAAAACACAAAGATATTGATAGTGGAACCCAGAGTGCGACAAAAAAATGTGGATGTTCATTTAGAATCAGATCAATTCCAACGACAGATGGATCTGGATGGAAGATTGATGTAAAATGTGGAGTTCATAACCATGATTTACCTGATATATTATAAGGTCACACATTTGTTGGTAGGTTGACAACGGATCAGAAGCAACATGTTGTTGATTTGACAAAGAGAAAGGTTCCACCTAGACATATATTGCTTTCATTACAAGAGCAAGATCCAAATAATGTCACTTGGATCACGCAAATATACAAGCAGAAGAGTATGATAGAAAAAATATAAGAGGTCTTAGAAGTGAGATACAACATCTGTTTAAGCTTATTGAGGATGCAGGTTATGTTTATTGGAGTAGAAAAAGAGATGACTCTGAAGTTATTAGAGATATATTTTGGGCTCATCCAGATTCAGTTAAGTTGTTGAATATTTTTTCTATTGTGTTAGTTATGGACAACACTTACAAGACAAACAAATATAGGCAACCTCTATTTGAGATTGTTGGCATGACATCAACTGAGTTGACTTTTGCTGTCGCATTTGCTTATATTGAGTCTGAGCAGACTGAGGCTTTTTGTTGGGTGCTAGATAAGCTTAAACAATTGTTTGTGAAGAAAGAGTTGTGTCCACAAGTGATTTTGACAGATAGAGATCTTGCTTTGATGAAAGCCATTGAAATTGTGTTTCTAAGGTCGATCAATTTGCTATGTCGATTTCATATTAACAAGAATGTTGGTGCAAAACGGAAACAATATGTGGCTAGTGACATGTAAAAGAAAATTGACGAATTATGGACGGATGTTGTATGGGCTAGTGATGAGGTTGAGTATGATCAAAGGTTGAACCAACTTGAGCAGGCGTGTGTTAATTGTAATGAATTTATTGATTATGTGAAGGACACATGGTTGACACCACATAGACAAAGATTTGTTGGAGCATGGATTAATCGAGTGCTACATTTGGGTAACACCACGACTAATAGGTATGTATTTATTTTTAGTATTTCTAAATTGTATATTTAATTTTAGGGTTGAGTCTACTCATTGGAAGTTAAAGCAAATGTTGGGGAACAGTATTGGTGACATGGTCAAATGTTGGGAGGCTATGAATAACAACTTAAAGTTACAATTGGGCAATATTAGAGCTTCTTTTCAAAAACGTTTTTATGAAATTGAGCACGCCCACATAAGTCCATTTTACAATAATTTACGTGGTTCAGTGTCTCGAGATGCATTGAGACGTATTACTGAAGAGTTAAAACGAGTTGATTATGTTGGAACTAACAAGGAAATATATCGTTGTACTCTTAGAACAACCTACAGATTACTTTGTGCTTGTGAGTTGACAAGATATAGAGTTGATGGTATACCTATACCAATAGATGCTGTGCATGTTCATTGGAGAAAACTAAGTATGGAAGTTAAGTTGGACGAAGACGTAGATGATGGATCCGAGGTGGATATGAGTAGTGCAATAGATGAGTTATGGAAAAGGTTTAAGTCACTGGATGTTTTTGGGAAAAGGGCATTAAAAAGTAGGGTTTTTGAACTTGCCTTCCCCACAATGACTTCTATGTGTCCACCACCTGAGAAAATAAAAACTAAAGGGGGAGTCAAGAAGAAAGACAAAAAACCAGTAGGGTATGATGTTTATAGAGACCCTTCGTATCATGAGTATGTTGATCAAGCATCTCAATCTTTACAGAGGCAATCTCAACCATCACAAACTTCGAAGAAGTTGAAATTATCACAGTCTTCACAAAAGAAATCTCAACCATCACAGGCTTCGAAGAAGTTGAAATTATCACAATCTTCACAGTCATCTAAGTAGTTCATCCTTCAGTTTCCTAATCACATCATGTCATATATTGATAATGTAGTTAATGTTGTATCAGATGGTAATTGTGGATTTAGAGTCATTGCTTCATTGCATGGATATGGTGAAGATCGTTGGCCAATGGTTCGTCGAGACTTGAGATTGGAAATAATACATAATGAAAGGTCAAGTTTGTATGCCAATTTATTTACTGATCAGTTATCAGTAGTGAGAGAACCTTTGATGATAGAGGAATTTGGTCCTCAACCACCACATAAATGGTTAACTCTACCAGATATGGGTTACGTGATAGCAAATCGTTATAATGTTGTACTTGTCTATTTAGGAATTGAATGCTGGACTTTCTTCCCTATGACAACTTAATTTTCACCAAATGTAGCAATTTACTGCATTGGTTTTGTAAACAGAAATTATTGGGTTCAGGTACTTAGTTCTTTTTAGATAATGTGATTAAACCTAATTCTTTTTCGCTATTTTTACTTAATATTTTGATTGTTTTTTTATTTAGGTAAACATGAAAGAAGGATTTCCATTTCCACTAGTGACATTAGATTGGAATAAGTTTCGTTCTTCAGCAGCAACATCTTGGATGCTAGGATTTGCAGGACGTCTACAACATTGGCAACAACTTACGCATATATTACCAACGCATTATGAATTATAAATTATGTTACTCATTTTTAATTTCAAAACATGAATCATGAATTATGTTATTCATTTTTAATTTCAAAACATGAATCGTGAATTATGTTATTCATTTTTAATTTCAAAACATGAATTGTGAATTATGTTATTCATTTTTTATTTCAGGCTACAAGTTAACACATAAACATAAACCAACAAGGTCAAATGAGTCTAAAATTTAACACATAAACATAAACCAATTAGGTCAAATGAGTCTAAAAGTTAACATATAACCATAAATATAAATATAAGTCACTCTGATCGAGCAATATGTAAAGCTTCGAACAAATCATCAAATTGTGGGTCATCCTCTTCAGCACCAGCCTGTTGAAGATAACGATGAATCAATGAAGACACACGAGCCTAGCTAGGATCAGATGGTCCTGCTTCATATACAGGAATTGACATCTCTATTGGTGCATCACGATAGGGCGGTACCAGACGAGGATGCGAAACACGATAATACCACTCAAGATATCCATCATCTGTCTCATATGGGGTGGTGCCCGGTGTTGTCGGACGAATCACATCCTGAACGCTCTGATGGTAACTAATCCAGTCAACATCAATATCACCAGCCATCGTATAATCAAGAGGTGGATGTGGAACATACTGCTTGTATCCAAGCTGACGCATACATCTGTCAGGCAAGTATGGAACAATAGTGTCACCCCACCTCAGACACCCCCTATATAGACATAACTCATCAAACTAACGCCATACTCTATGATTCTCGAATGGGTGCCATATGACATCGGCAGGTGTCAGCTCGTCCATAATAGGTCACAAGTCATCCACCTGCAAGGCACCTTGCCTATAGGACCATCTCATCGCTCGAGGGAGACCCACATTATTAGCTGGTATCCAGTTCTCTCCTTTTTTTCCAAGTGTTGGAAAATACTCATGAATCCAGTACTGTTGCAAAATTAATATTGTTACTAAATTTAAAATAATTAATTATAACATAATAAACTAGATAAATAAAATTAATATACTAGATAAAATTAATTAAAACAAAATATACTAAATTAAAATAAATACCTGTAGGAGAGTCGGATAACCATCAAGCTGCTTACAACTGAACATGGAAGCATCTCCGAGATATCTATAAAGAGTAACCAACGCAGCTGCTCCCCAACTGTATCTTGATAAGCCATCCAAGTCTATAAATAGTGAGAGGTATCGTGCCTTGACAAGCGTAAATGTCTTGTCCTTAAAAATAGTGGAACCCACTAACATCAACAAATAAGCTCTAGTGGCATAATCCCATCAAGATGCAGCTCTATGCTCTACGAATCGATCATATAACCACTCCAACTTATAGTAGGAACCCCTGCAGTCACGGACTTGTTGCTGTGCTACTCTCTATGACACTCCTAAATAATCAACAGCCCACTCAACAACAAGTGCTTCACTGATATCTTGAGGGCTCCAGAAGACTCCCCTGATGGGCAAGTGAAGCAGGCAAGATACGTCATCTAGAGTAATCGTCATCTCACCAAACATCATGTGAAATGAAGATGTCTCTAGATGCCATCTCTTTGCAAATGCGGAAACCAGGTTTGTGTCTATCTTTGTTAAACTAGTTCTCTCGAGTGAAGCTAGACCAGACCTAAATATCCAACCCTCCATCTCTCTGGGTAGCTGTAGTGGAACCCTCTGAATCAACTTCAATCCATGTCCCACTACCTTTAACTCTTTCTTCGACCCTCTCTCCTGAAAATAATTAAAAGTAAATATATTATAAAATTCAACATTAAAAATTCAAATTTTATTCAATATTAAATAATTTTCGTTTACTTACCTCACTGATCCATATACGTCTAGCAACATAATGTTCGTACTTAACTAAAACAGATGTTTCGTACGGTCCTCCTGGATATCCAACAGGCTCGGATGCTGATGCATCAAAATGCTCTTCTTCAGCCATTCTCGATGACTCGCCCCGTCCTAGTCCGCGAGAAGGGATCCTACCATCTCTGCCTCGTGTGCGCACCACTGCCAAAATAAATAAATAAATAAAATTAAAAATTAAAAATAAAAAAAAACATGAACCAGAATACTTGATCAAAGACTTCCGGTGAACAAACGAAAAAAAATGAACCGGAAGACATACATAAAGTCTTCCGGTGAACAAACGAAAAAATACAACAAACCGAAAGACTTACTATTGGAGTTCTGGTATATGTAGGTGAGAAATGTAGTTCCTGATGACTTGTTGGAAGACTTCCGGTTTGTATGTGAAAAAAGGGTGTTCCGGAGGTGTTGAAGTGCAAATGAAATGAAAGTGTAAAATTTCTAAAATTATAACTATTTATACAAGGATATTTTGGTCCAATATTTTTTAGTGTAGGGGTATGGGTATAAGTGTAGGGGTTTGGGGTAAAATTTCCTAACATTCGATAGTGCCTCTACCGTAACTTCTCTACCATTATCGTCTTTACCACTGGGTCTTTTATTCATCCAATTATTAAGACAAAATATTACACCAGTCCAACCCTTTTCCATCTTTGTTTCAGCTTCCTTCCTTTTAGAAAAACACAAAGTAACAACCAAACTCCAAACATATAAAGTAGAAACTCTGAGTCACAAAAACTTGTTCTCATAGAACTGTTACTCTCATCAGCCATCACAATTGTTGCTCTTTCCACCAACATTTTGCTCTGTTATCACTACTACAAAAAAAACATTTAACCTTAGACGCCAAGTTGAGTTAAACTCGGTTACATAGGCGAGGTAACGAAGGGTGTCATGAAAATTCTCCATTATACCCACAAATTTTAGAATAACCAAGGGGATAGTTGAAATGACCATTCGTTTGATCTCCAACAATAACTCTTTTATATTTTCAAAACTAGCACCACATACCTCTCGGTTTATGGTCAAAATTGAAGGAAAAGATAAATTATTTTAAAAAAAATACTCATTATATTGTTTACAAAGAATATTAATAAATTAATTTTTTTACAAACTACATTATTTACACATAATATTACATTGTTTATACATAATATCAAACTACATTATTTACGCATAATATTACATTGTTTACAAACTAAATTAATTTGTTTATCAAACTACATTATTTATAAACTACATTATATACTAAATTTTGAATCTGATTCATCGTCATTGTTGTCGGTGAAGAACAAATGTTGGATATCTTTGAGAATATCAAATGTGGGATACAATATATTCTCTATGGATTTTACATTAATTTGTTTATGATAGAAAACAAAAAAAAATGTTATATAAATAAAATAAATATTCAGTTCAAATGATTATTTAAATACACAAACTTAAATTCAAATAATTTTTTACTCTTGCAATCCATCATAGAGAACTTTTCCAAGCTTCTTTAAGTTTCAAATGTTTCATGTCAAATGTTTCATTATAAATCCATCATAGAGAATGCGTTTATAATGTCTTTTTGATTTCACACGGATTACTAATGGTAGTGTCTTGAGCGTTGATACTCATTACATGAACGACAAAGATTTGTGTAAGGACGGTGAATAAATTCAATAAACACGTTTATATTTCCCCTTGCTTATTCTCAAAACTGAGGTAAAGTGTGTTTTTTAAATAAAAAATATAATAAAATATGTTCCATCCCAAACGCCACATACCAACCATTTCCTCTAAAAAACCGAGGGTAGTATGCTTTTTTATTTTATTCTTTTTAATTACATTGTTTACACATAATACTAAAATGCATTGTTCAAACAAATCCATATTTTCACAATGGATTATTGAAGAACAAAATTTTTTTTCAAGTTATTCTTGGAGAACATTAAATCTTTTTTGTTATTCAAATTTTTTTGTATACTTTTTATGCGTATTATTTTCAAGTTCAAAGGATAGCATGCATCCAATTTTTTATAAGCTAACTGTTCCAACCATGAGAACTTTTTTCTGCACTTGCAATCAATCCTAGAGATCTGTTCAAAAGATTTCATTATTTTGAGCAAATGTTTTCATGGCAAATACTTTCACTGGAAAGAGAACAAGATATATAATGGTGGATGTATAAAGTTTCTTGTGGATTGATGTGTTGGCAATATCTTGAGTGTTATTAAAATAAGGACTTTCCCTTCGGTTTTATAAAAAACGAGGTGATATATTACTTGCAAAAAATGGTGAATGATAAAAAATTGAACGTAACATGTCTTGTTTCCTTTTCAATTTTTTTTATCATTCACCATTTTTGTACTACAATTACTTGCATTTTATAACATGTTTAGGAATAAATTTATTAATGTTGTCAACTGAGAAAAACAATAAGTTATAGAGTGTTTGCATTGATTGACAATTAGGAAGGTTATTCCAAAACAACAACAATAACATCAACACCATTATGTTGGATGGATTGCAATAGCAGGAAATGTGTCTTGTTCAAGATAGAAGAATATTGAAGATTTTTTGTCTTGCAATCCTTGTTAGAACACAGATTGGTTCTTAATAATATCTCTTTGTTTTGATGATAACTGTTAGGAAATTTTGTATTTAAGAATTATATACTCTAAAATTTGCTTGAGAGTTTTACTGCAGATTAAAATGAAATTAACACTCCAGAAGAAAATCTGAATTGTATACAAGAAGTTATCTAGACTCTGAAGCGCCAGATGCATTCTTTAGAAGATTCTGATTGCTGTTTACAGAAGATCCTGAGCGTAGTCTCTAGAAGGATCTGAAGCAAAAAGCTCCAGAAGAATCTGAAGCAAGCAGAAGCATCTGAAGCAAGTCAGAAGCATCTGAAGCTAAGAAGAATATTGTATGAAGAGTTTCTCAAAGCATAGTTTCTACAGAAGTTTCTGAAAGTACTAAAGCTGCCAGTACTGAAGTTCTGTGTTAAATATGCTCTGATGATCAACACGCTAAAAGCACACATGCTGCAGAAGACTCTGATACAACAAAGTTCTGAACATCATTAGAAGACTCTGACTCAATCAGATTCTGATGAACTTGCTGAAAACTGAA